TTTTTTTCTTGATCAGTCCAGCAAAAATGTGTATAGTTTAGGTATTTTTGTGTCTGTCGCTGTTTAAAGAAACTACTCTGTATTCTTTTCTGCATTCAGCAAGGAGTTACAAGAAAAGCATAATTTCAGGAAACTATTGACCAATTTACAGAAGAAATGAAAGTGAATAGTGGAAACATAGGAGCTTCATAAGATCAAAAACACCTTCTACTTCTAGATTCAATAAGTATTAAATAAAATTGAAAAAAGGATTCAAGTAAATGATGAGGAAAGTGAGATTTCTCTGTTAGATAATGTGAATGAGCCTTACAATAATGAAAATAATCAGAGTATGATATTCAGACCTAAACCTGTTCTCTAAGTTGGCCTAGAAGCAGCCATGGTTATCTGATGTAATTATCTATCTAAAGGGGAAGGGATTAAAAAAAAATCAGTCTTTAGAGTTATGTCTAAGAGGGAACTTTGTGATTGGTTTATTGCACATGCAATTGACTGGAAGGGAATATGTAGCCTATTAAGATTTTTAGGGAATTATTTTCTCAAAGAAATCCTGACCTAAGAAAAAAAAAATTGACTCAAAATAATCCTTCTACCACAAACTTTCACAAGAATGAAATAGCCTATGCAAGATGGATAGTTCCCAAAAGTAAAGAACAAGTAAGTGTTTCCCAGAGATCAGAACCTGAGGTCATGAAGAACAACAAATGAGGTTGTCCAGGAGTCTGGGTCTAATTAAGGATGGTCTAATTAAAATTGGTCTGATTTCCCCACAGCAGGGCAAAACGTATGTGTTTAAAGAGGGAGTGCTTTACAATGCCTGTATAGCAGGATCATGTAGTTACTACTGTCAAGTGTGTGCTCTGTTTTTTCTCACCCCTTTCCTAAATGCAAGTTTTCTATGGTAGTTGTCTTATCCCTGCTCCACCACTGATACCACACAAAGGGATAATAGTCTGTCTATTATATCATACTTTGCAGGACAACCACCAGCACATACAGTCATGATAGAGAGGACTGCCTAAAACATATAGATACTTAATTTTGAGCTGACTATAGTGAATGGATGAAACATTGGGTTGGCTCCTTTGGGGAAGTGGTGAGTATATACTATCTGTTGCAACAGGGTGCACATGAATATCATTAGAAAAGTGGTTTGTGTAGAAATCTTAGCTGCTCACCAGCATACTTGCTCTCCACTTCTTGATCACAGGGGTAAACATTTTCTGGCTTTTCTTGCTTTTTTGTGTAGATACTTCCTGAATTCTAGCTGATGAAATGTGAGCACAGTTGATGTAAACCATTTCCAGTCTCGGCTCATTAAAAACTCCCAGTCACGGAGGGTTGAATATTCAGTGTCCTGAAATGTCAGATTGCCGTCAGATATGGCCCCTGGACATGGACATGAACATGGTTATAGCATAATGGAACTTCCAGATTATAAACAGTGGAAGATAGAAGGGACACCATTAGAAATTGTCCAGGAGAAGCTGGCTGCACAAGGGGTCAGAGATCCATGGGGCAGTAATGAAACTTTGAGATACATGGGAGGCTTTGCACACAATGTTTCCTTTGTTAGTACATTATTAAAAGGATTTAAAAGGGGATTTGCTGCATTTGTGGTAGCTGTAGGGGCTGAGTATTACTTGGAGTCCCAGAATAAAGGTCAGAAACATCACTGAATATAGTATCTGGAAGTATCTTAGAAAAAGGAGGTTTCTTCACCATAGCCTTCTTGGGCTTGTCCCCTGAAAAATACAAGTTAGATTTAATAAATTAAGAAAAAAATATCATGCTCCTCTAAGCTCTATTTGCTTCCTGCCTAGTTGGAATGGAGAGGTCTGCCAGGGAAGCTTTGGATGCCATACGGTGAAGATCGTAGAACAACTGTTGGCCATTTGGAAGAGGATTGCTCTACTGGATTGTTTACTCTTGTGAGCAAAAATATATTTGTGCTATTACATATTTTGTGGTCCATTTGTTGAAGCAATTGACCTTGCCTAATAAAAACAAGATTATTGAAGAAGGAGCAATAAACACATTTATTAATAAATTTATCCTGAGTGAAACAGCATTTACTTCTAGCTTTACATTGTCATTTGTCATTAATTTTACAATGCTATAGATTGGATTCCCACCCCCCTCCCCAACCTCATTGAGGCTTAATCCCAACTGTAACTGTTAAAGGTGGGAAATCCTATTATGGTAATTGAAAAGTGGGGCCTAGAAGAGGTGATTAGATTGTAGGACCATGCCACAGTGAATGAATTAATAATGGTGGTCAGGGGCGTGGTTCTGAGGGCTTTAGAGGGAAAGCACACAAAGGGTCTTTCTGCTCCACCATTTTTCTCCATGAAATTCTGCCATCACTATTGCCACCACCAAGGCTATCACCAGATATTTTCCCTGGACTTCAGACTTTGCAGCCTCAGAAACTGTAAGCAATAAATTTTGTTTTCTTACAAATCACCCAGTTCCAGGTATTCTGTTATAAGCAGCAGAAATGGACTAATATATACAATAATACCTGTACAACGATGTAGTCTTAATTCAAGGTTTACCTCACCCAAGTTATTTTTTATGGTGACAATGTAAAAGTTTTATCTCAAATGATTAGATTCAACATGAAAAGTGGTAAATTTGAGGAATATTATTGGCTTCTGTCATTTCTGGCTAAATTGCATTATTATATTATTAGGAATCTGTATTACTCTTATTTTCCTTGGCTTGGATTTCCTCTGTGTTGGTTTCATTTCTAGACAGGTTCTGTATGGTAAAGATGGCAACCGGCTGAGTTAGGCTCAAAATGCCTTTAAGTCTATGCGTTCTGGGAAGCAGAGTCCTGCTTCTCGAATATCTTTCAAATAGGTCTTGGGAGGACTGTAATTGGTCCACTCTGGGTCATATGCCCATATGCAAAGCAATCACTTTGGAGAATTTTGATGTTACATGCCTAACTTTGTAGCAGAAGACACATCAGAACCACACAGAATGAGTTCCATTTATGAAACAAAGATTCATCTAGCAGATGAAGGGGGTAAAGTTGTAAAAACAAAACAAAACAGATTTCCACTAATGGGTACCTATCTGAATTTGAACTGTAGTTATAAATGCTCGAAAGAAGTTAGTGGTTTTACAGTACTTACAGAGTGTCATGAATTTAAAAACATATAAATGGAAACATAAAATGATATTGTAATCACCTCCCCTGTCCTTCTGCTCATGCCACTTCACCAAGAAATGAGAATATTTTAGAGGCAGGAGAAGGATTTTTTTTTTCTTTTTTAGTTCTTTTTCAGGTACTAATGTGTAATTGAATTTGACCTGATAGATTGTCCTATCTCACAGCATTGTCATTCAGAAGTTATGTCATAATAAAATTGACTTTGTTTATTATATGAGTTAGAGAACAAATTTATTTTTCTGTGTTAGATAATCAATTATTCCAATATTATCTATTGAACAGATATTGAAATATTTTCCTACTAATTTATAAAGGCACTGATACCAGAGACAAATATCTGTGGATGAGGATATGAATCATGGCTCTCTAATTAGTTCCATTTTTTGTTTGTCTGTCCCTGGCCCAGTATCACACAATTGGTATTACTCTAATCATTAAGATATTTGGTAGGATGAAATGCTCCTCCTAATGCTATACTTTTCAATTTGTCTTGGTTGTGCATTGCTTTTCATTCTTCCATATTGACTTGTGATTCAGTTGTCAGCTTTGAAAATCACTTTTGGGATTTGAATTTGAATTGCATCAAATTTGTAGATTAATTTGTAGAAAATTGACTTTCTTATGATATTTAGTTTCTGCAATCATGGACATGTTATTTATGCATATTTCTATTTGGGGATATTATTATGCATTTTTGGCAATAATAATAACAACTAGTTATATGGTGGTTACTATATGATAGATGTTAATGTTTCAACCATATATTAACTCACTATTATATATTCATATTGGCAGAGACTATTATCTCCATTGTATAAATGGGGAAACTGAGGTACTGAGAGCTCATGTGCTAAGTCATATAAGAGGTGGAGTTGAGATTTGAACCCATGCAGTTTGTCACCAGAGCTAGGAATCATCACAAATATCTGATATTGCTTCTCTGAGAACTTTGCTCACCTTCTTAGAAATTCTATTATTGGTTTAGTATATAAGATTTTCCAATTAGACAATAACACTGTGTGTGCATAAAGGAAATAAAATTATTGCTACATTCCAATCCTTTAACTACTTATGTTTACTTGTATTCATATTGCCTTAGCTAAGATTTCCAGGAAAGTATTGATTACTGTGGGTAGCAGTAACACTTCTTGCCTTGCACCTGATTTTAAATAGAATGCTTCTATGTATCAACATTTAGTAAGATGCTTGCTGTAAGTTTTAATAGTTGAGCAGTATAAAGTTATTTCTCTTCTATTTTCCAAGAGGCCTTTTTTATTTCATAAATAAGTGTTTGATTATTTTTAATGTCTTTTGTCTTCTATTTTCTAGTATGAAAACATTTGTGCATTCCTAGAATCAATGCTATGCTCACATGAGATTGCAGAGTTAAAAAAAGCATGGCCCCTGGAGTTAGACTTTCTGGTTTTAAGGCTGTCTATACCACTTACAAACTATGGGCCTTGGGAAAGTTATTTAACTTCCTTAATAGTACCAATCCTAGATCCTGGCAAGAGAGAATCTTCCCCTAGGCTGTAACCTTTAGAACATCCTATTTATCATAATCACAAACAAATTATGAAATATTAGATAACACTTGAGTATCTCTTAATTGTTATGCTGGTAAAGGTTTTAACAACAGGGTCTCCAAAAGGTATGCCATATGTGTGTGTGTGTGTGTTTATACGTATATACATATGCTCACAAACAAATTATGAAATATTAGATAACACTTGAGTATCTCTTAATTGTTATGCTGGTAAGGGTTTTAACAACAGGGTCTCCAAAAGGTATGCCATATGTGTGTGTGTGTGTGTGTTTATACATATATACATATGCATATATATATATACACACATACACGCACACACATACATATACACACACATGTACAAATGGGTATATGTATGCATATCCATGCACATATCTATATTTATTATACATTTTATTAATATAAAGGTTGCGTAACAACTTACAAGTAATAATAAAATAATCAACACTATTTATTGCAAATTCTGTATAGACAGTTGATTTTCACAGGAAGTTTTCATTGATTTTTGTTTAACTACTCTATATGCAGCCAACTTATGAGTGCACTAACGAGTGTAGTCCCGACATGAATGTTGGTTGCTATTTTCATTCACATTAATGAATAAGAATTTCACTTGTTAATCAATGATGTGAGCAACTTTTTGCCAAATCAAATAGGTTTAGAATAAGGAAATAATATTTTCTTATTTTTTTTTCTACTCACAATGTAACAGCTACAGGTAATACACATTTTTAGGTAAAATGTACATTATTAAGATTTTCTCTATCACTTTCATAAGTCTAGACAATCAACAAAACAATAAATCAAGCTATGATTTATAATATTTGCCCATGTTTTTTCCTAATGTGAATACTCTCTACATAGCTGATTTCCTGCTTCAAGTATGGGAAGAGATGTGCAGTAGCACACCCACCATTATACAGTAGCACCATGCAAAAATTCCTTTAAATTTAACAGGTTAGATCTTGTGAGCCTATGTGAACAGACTCCAACACAGCACTGACTGGCACATCTGCTCCCAGAATTCAGCACTAATTGTTGGCACATGGTACCACAGCATTAAACATGTACTTTTCTACACCTTTCAGGCTCCAGGAAAACACTTTCCACATCTCTTGTCCAATGTTTTAAAGCCAAAAGGTGACTGCATTCATTGTGATATAATTTATAGGTTGGTCTGCTCCAAATGTTGGAGATAGACTTTGCTCTTGAACATAAGGAGAATTTCAGCAGCAAAGGTGCTAAAGAAAAATGGAAGGCACATTAATTAACTTGCTAAATTCTCCTTTCAGAAAGGACTAGAACAATAGGTTTTGTGTAATGGAGTTATCACGTTAAGTAGTGCAGAACTTCCTTCTCTTGGTATTGCAATTCATAGTTTGGAGTTACACACTCTTTAATGTGATATTTACTGACATTGCACAAGGCAGGAGGGAATCATTTTGCATCTCTAGACAATTCAAATTATCTTGAAGTTATATATATATAGGTAGTCTGTACAGAACATGAATGAAACATAAAATCATTTTTTATATTGACAACTAAATGCCCATTGAACATTTAAATTGCAAACGCAGGAGGGAATCATTTTGCATCTCTAGACAATTCAAATTATCTTGAAGTTATATATATATATGTAGTCTGTACAGAACATGAATGAAACATAAAATCATTTTTTATATTGACAACTAAATGCCCATTGAACATTTAAATTGCAAACAGCATTAATTCTTCATTAAAATTTTGAATAAATAATTATTTATTAAAATAATATGGATTTCAAATTTGGATATTTGTTCATTGTAATTTGAATTTTATCTTTAGATTATTTTGTGTCAGTATTTACCAAACTATGATTTACATAGGAAAAAAGCATACTAATTTTAAATGTAGGGCCTGATGAATTTTCACAAAGTAAACACACTTGCATAAACAACTCCTGATCTAGAAGCACAACTTTACCAGCATTCCAGAAGCACTCCACATTATGCTGACCTTTTTGCAGTGACTATCAACTCCGAAGGATGATCTTTATCCTCATTTCTTGCACCGTAGATTCGTATTGCTGCTGCTCCTGTTGCTTTTTATATACTTTATATGTATACATAAAATTATAAAGTGTATCTTTACTCATGTCTTGATTCTTTCCTTGAACATTATGTTTGTGACATGTATCCACGTCGTGTCACATATAAATAATTGTTTATTTTCCATGTTGTATAACAATCCATTGCATGAATACATCACTTTTTATTTATTGTACTATTGATGGATATTTGGGTTATTGTCCTAATTTGTATTAAATATTACTGCTATGAACAAGTGTTGCATATCTTTTGGC